AACTGGAGACCTTGTTTCTTCATCATTCGACTGCACTCGGAACGCGAAAGTCGACGAGCAGAGGGACGCAATTCTTGTTGGGAATGCACTTTGCTAGGAGACTGGGCGTGCCCCGAAGGTCTGGTAGCCCCATAGGGGCGCACGGGAGAGGGGTCTCTTTCCCAAAAGTCTTCCAAGCCACCCGCCGATTTGAGGGAAGCTCGAAGATATCGACCGCCCGAGAACAAGGCCATATATAATACCCATGCATATGCTAACAATACATGTGGGTTTGTTTGGACGGATTTCTTTGTGTGTGCAATAAACTCTGCTAGCCGCCCATCATTCGAAACTGCCTTCAGTTGCTCTTCAATCTTATGATCAGGGGTTCCTGTCAAAGTGCGGATATCGGCTTGAAGGCGTCCGGATCGCAAGAGGCCAGGAAGAAGGAGGTGTGAAAGTAAAGACTGAGTTCTTGAGCAGACTTTCGATGCCTGAGAGTCCAAAGAGTCCGATCTACTACCGGGGCCGTCAGATTTTGTTTGTTCATCGTTGAGAGATAGTGGAAGGCAGGGAGCATCTATAATGGCTTGCCATAGTGACTCGAACGTAATGTAGATTGGCGCAATGTGAAGGATGCCCGAGACATAGATGGACGGGTTCGCAGTGTATGGAGGGAGAGCGAGAGGCAAACGAAGGAGAATTAATTTGTTGAGCTGAGAATGAACAGCTCTTGTTGCAATATTGACTAAAGGCTGTTAGCTGTAAGCTACTAAAGTGGGCGATGGAGTCTTTTTTTTTCTCACTTTGTTCGGATAAGGAATGCTGATCTGGTGGGGGAGCTTGAGGCGGAGGGTTAGAGTTGATAATATTAGATTCAGCCATAGGTGCGATTTCTCATGGCGCGAATAGCAAAACAAGAGGAATGTCAGAAATATGACACGCAGGAAGGATGTGATAAAGGGGAGTAAGAGTTAATAGGTATAGTAGGTTGATATCAATAGAGAATGAGAGAACGGAGGTGGATGTGGATAAGAAAATCGGGGGTCTGACCTCGTCACTTGAGCCCTTTAATCATTCACATTACCTATTTGGAGGATACCTGCTTGCCTACCTGCCTCGCCTGCGTTATTCTTAGTCAAATACGGCAAGAAGTCACAATGACTCAAGTAGGTTTCATTGCCTTGCGCGACAAAAAGGAAAGAGGAGGAGAGAGGGAATGGGAATGGGAATGGGAATGGACATGGGGGAACGAGGTAGGGAGAATGGCGCTTTGGTGGTAGGACGCGAAGGAAAGGAAGGTACTGGATGGTTTTCATCAAGATCATTGCAATTGCAATTGCAATTGCAATTACAGTACAATAATTGGATCCTGTTGGCCGTAACAGAAAACAAACATGTTTGGGGCAAAAAGTAAACATCGTATCGCAGGTAGCGTTGTATGTTTGCTAGTGTGCTTACCTAGACAAGTTGAAAAAGTAAATAAGAGCTTATATATAAAAACATGCAAATGGTGTCGTTGTTACTCATTTCTCATACAGCTGGAGATGTTCAACATGTGGTCTGATGTTTATATTAATTAATGTTGTTATCATCGTCTTATCAATTGCTTTTTCCGGGGAAGATACACCTGGCTCCTGGCCAAGGAGTGATTTGTGCTATGGTAAATCGGAGAATTTCCCATGTCGCCTTACTTATGGGAATTTGTTTTTTTGGTTTTGACAACCTATCCCTGAATAACACAACACTGATGTTACCTCTCGATATGAAATCTATGTCTTGATGGCTTGAATCCCGTGAGCCCGGTCGCACGATGATGTACCAGATCCATCACTCCATTACTCCAGCTGAGAATATTGAGAGATGGAACCTTAACACAGCTGGCCATGTATCACACTCGTCCCCATCTAGCCATCAATGTATGAAGATAGGTATGGTGGGTAGTACAGGTCGTACCGTAACATCCTCGGAAGGAAAATCCAGAATTGCCCGATGCCCTGGGAAAGTTTTGTCGACCTCAGTCGGGGCTCATCAATACGCAGGATGCATTCAAATGTTCCATGTGGTCATCTATCTCAAGATATCTATCTTCTGGGGACCCAGGACTGTATCTGTGTCCTTCGAGAATCAAATCATCGATCCCTTCTTGTTGGTCTTCATTGGTGATCTGGCCACCGTGACTACCTCGGCACAGCTATGTTCTCGCTTGTCTGATGAATACGGATAGAGTTTATCTAACTTTAAGCTCGAACTCGTATACCTACAGTGTAGCAATACAACAAGGACACCTTCTTCAACCCATCAATCCCACTATGTGATTTCACTAATTTGGAATTCACACGCGACCTAAGCGGTTTGCATTACATTTCGATCCGTAGCAGTTGTGACCATCGGAGAGCCAAGATGCTGAACCACTCATGCATCATAAACTGAGAGTATCGCTGCGACTTCACCACCAAAGAGACTGGGACTTGTTGAGATGAAGAATTTACCCTAAAACTTCGGCAAGTAGCGACGTACTTGACCTTGTTTCTTAAAGTTTTCTTACTCGCAAGTATCTCATCCATAACGCAGTTCTGTAAAATTCATATGTTGATCATTCTTGATCGGTGATTGGCTTTCTACGAGAGACCTCGAACCCGTATCCGAAGTTAAATCCATATCGAGCGCAAACGACTGTAGAGTTGATCAGTGTCATCTATACTCGTCATCTTTTCTATTGTTCAGCGGTTTTTGTTGATATATATGAGCTTAATATGTATTCGGTTGCCAAGTTTCAAATAGACTACTCCCTAATAGCACTTGTTTTTCATTTTGTACTATCATGCACCATTCCAAGAATTCTCTGCCTCCATAAATCGATTCAAGCCCCCTGTAGTGCCAATATCGATCAAATTTTTGGGATCAACAGGGTCTATGAAAGCAGTCGAACATGCGAATGCAATCGCACGCAAAATTCAATGGTCTTATCCAAATTTTTGTAAACTGCCCATATTTCAAGCTGCTGTTGCAGTTCTTACAACTCTACGATTGTGCTACGGAAGACTGGATTTGCTGGCCAAGAAAGCTCTACCTGCACAGGCAGCTTGTGATTTGACCAATATTGTTATTGACTGACCAAGTCCAATGACTTGTGTAGACAACACGTTAGGTGCGGAAGATTCAGTGACTTTAATGGGAATATTAATGATACAAGAGCTGGAATAACAGCTTCAATGACTAAAACCAACAACATGAAGCATGATCATATGCAATAAGGATGCGGATACGGATATGGACAAGAATTCAGAGATTTTAGCTCACGAAAACATTTGTCAAGGCAGGCGAATGATGGGGGATAACTTGTAGGTGCAAAAGATGAAAACATGACAAGAGTACATGGGTGATCTCGGATGGGTGCTAGTGAAGAAAAGAATGCTGAGACGCATGTGTAATATCTAAGGAGTTCATCGGCTGCTGCAGGAAGCCCTCAAGATAGCATCGTGATACTGCCTTCGAGAAAGGGTATGAGGAGGAGGAGGATGAGGGATAGTGGTGAAACTATGAATGATGTATAATGGCTTCTTTTTATATTTTCGGTTATCAACTATATATCTACACTTTCCGATGATACATGTCTCCTTTTCTTACCTAGTGGGTTGTAACTCAGTGGAAAACTGCGATGATAGAATCAGAATTAGGGTAAGCAAATTAGACATGCGACTAGTTTGCTTTCTTTGTTGTTTGATAATTACTTGCTTGTCATCTCATCGATCGAAGGTTCTTTGAATTGCTATGTTTGCTGAGACTAAAGGGAGAATGGTAAGTGAAATAATCTCACAAAATATGACTCTGTAGACTTATTGATAGATTTTGAAGTATGAGACGTAAATTCAGACAATCAGAGAGAAGTCAACTAATGATACGTGCAACAATGTATGACATACAGTTCCTATTTCAATACATTTCAAAGCATTATCAGCATTTATGTTTTGACTTTATCCGAGGTGCTTTGAGAAGAAAGTTCAAATTCACTCACATCGTTGACATCTCTTAGCTCTAATTTATCTTTTATCCAACTACCTACCTAGGTAGATCAATTCCAACCTTCCCTAAGACAAGGTGTCAAAACAAACAATTCACTCTTTTCTAATACTTTTTGATGCTTGAATCTCTACTTGCTCATTGTCAATATATCAATATTTAAAAGTCAGTTTGATTCACAACTAGTTTGATGTAAATTATACTACCTTAGCTCTCTCCCTTTCTTGTCTTTAAGAAAATACTTTCTATCTGTATTGTATAATGAATCTCAGTGATGAAGTTGCCTATGTGATTTATGATATTAATGGACTTACAGTGACTTGTCTTGTGAATTTCTCTACCCTTGGTTGACTTCGGATAAGAGTTCTCGATTTCCCCTTAATGTTCGAGCTACAAGTCACAGATATAAACCAATAGAAACAACTCAAAACATTGTAGAACAAACAGACAGAAAGGAATGAATACAAGAGCTCAACTTGACCTTTAAACTGTCCTTCCCAATTGAAGCCTTTTCAGATAGATGACCAAGCAAGATATATGATATTGGTCCAAATCTTTATCCTCTGAATTGATTATTCTTGACCCACAAAGAGGAATATTGAATAATACCCAGTGCAGCACCCGAAAGTACTCAGCCGATACTGTAACTACGGCTCATGACTACTGTGTCTTCCCGAGTGAATCTTCTTCTATCTAACTGTCTGAAGCAACAGATTATTTTGAATTTCTCAATCTCGGCTCCGACCGCACTTATTTAAATTTGTAATTTCCCACTCTATTGTACTTTAAATATTCTCGTTTCAGAGAGGAATTCAGACTTACTCTATTTCACAACTTACCATCTACTACTTACCGCCTTTCCTGCTTCCTTCTTTTGCTCATTTTATTATATCTACTTATACAATACAACGGATTCTCTCTGTCCTTGCTCCTCCCAGTAACATCAACCTTTACCAACCTTTGTCAACCTTCATCAAACCACGTCTACCCAGCACAACATGTCGGCACAGAATCCATTTCCTCCTGATGGGGACGTTCTCATCATGTCACCCACAGGAAAAAACTGGAAACTTCATTCGTGGCAACTGGTCAACTACGCGCCAAAAATCGGCGCCCTTCTCAAAAACGTTGCAGCGAGAACCATCACCAAGGGTATGCGCGCTGAAGCACACACTATTAGATGGTGGATTGAGATGATACCATTTGGCGCCTTTGATGACCAACGATTCAGAGATTTTGTTTGCGTTGTAAGTTTCAAGCTTCCCATACCAGCCTTGATAATACGTGGTATTATGGTCACGCATGTCACGAAACACTTTCAGACAACTATACATCTTCCAAGTCCAGAACAAATCCGTGCTCTTCCAAGTCTTTAATTTCTACAGCGAATTCGAACAATTGCTAACTTGAAATTTAATACAGCCAGAAAAGAAGAAAGGAAAGCTTACTTTGCACAGCGCCGGTGCTTTTAATGGCATTGGCGAGGTGTCTTTCGAAAGAACCTATGACAACCTTTTCAGAATGTTGTACAGCATGCCTCCCAATCTAACAGACGATATTGATGACGGCGGTGCAAATTTGTACATAACCGATTGCGTTTCGATCTTACAAGCCGCCGCCTTCATCGGCAGCTTGCCCAGTGTTCGCACGTACATTGAGAGCTATCTTCTGCGGATCAACCAGAAGCTCTGGGTCCACGTCGCAAAGGCCCCCGAGGCATGGTCTGATGTTGCTGTTCGTCTACAGTCGGCGATTATCTTTCGTGAATCCATCATTCACATCGCGGGTGGTCTCGAGCTTCCGGGTCTCATCAACAGAAGCAGTTTTGACAACATTGAGTACGGAAAAATATGCCTTCAAGTTGCGGAACGCAAGTGTCGCGAGCTTAGAGATAAGAAGATCGATGTAGAGAGGAGGCTCTTGCAATACTACCCGCAACGTCTAATTCGAAGAGAGACTCCCGAAAAGATCCCAGGTCGCGCCGATTATGGTTCCGACATCTACTACTGGCAGGCTCTAACTATGTGTCGTCAATTCTTTCAGTCTTCTATCATGGCGAACAGACATCATCGTCACGAAGATGGTGGCGTGGAGTTTTATCGTACCGTCTTTCGCTGCGATTATATCGACAAACACGCCGCAGATGAGTTCCATCAACTTTTTGCCATGTCGACCAAAGGAAAGCAGTGTCTCGCGGATGCTGTTGAAGTTATCAAGGATGACCATCGTGTTGTCATCGCCGATCTTTTGGAAGATCACCTTCAGCTTCGTACGACTGTGAGAAGCAAGCCGTTGAGGTACTTGACTTGCACCAGTGTCTTAGAGGAAGAGTTGCCTTGGATTGCAAACCCCGGCTTGGGTGCAGGTTCTATCCCAGGACAAATCGAAGATGGTGTTGCTAGTGACGGCTCTGCTAGCCCAGATCGAGCTGGAAGGGAAATCATGAACCGGGGTGGTGGTCCTAGTGCAGGGAAAGTTCCAGGAAAGAAGACTAGAACTGGCAAAGCTGCTATGGCTAGAGACGAAGGAGAAGATAGCGAAGAGGAAGGCGAGCAACAACACAACGATGATGATAGTTCAAGAGAAGAAGACGACGTTGACGAGGGCGAGTATATGGGCGGGGCATGAAATTCTCTTTCGAGATTTTCTCCATGTTGTTGCGATGATTCTGGATTAGCGTGGCGGAAGTTCAACCATTTGTTTCCTAGTATGTTTTGAGCTTTTGATAATAATGATTTCTCAAAACGGAGGTGTTATAGAGAGTTTGTCAAGAGATCGATATCCCTTTTGATATTGAACAATCAATACTTTTCTGATTGATTTAGATAGCTATAACTAGGATAGCCTCTCAATTTCCAAGTTTTATTTATGAATTTGAACTCAGTGACCCAAAAACGCACCGGCATCAAATTCGCACGACAAAGTCCCTAAGTGTTATTTACACGAGTTCCACTCGGAAACTGCGTTGACCCCAATTTGAATATACAACCCCTAGGCAGACAATCAGAGCATCCACAAGATTTGACTGGGAGTGACGCACTCTTAATGTATTAGATACTCAATCCCCATACAGATATTCAAGGTATCTGTGAGAGCTGACTGGAAATGGGACATTGTCAATATGTAGATGCTCAACCTTGTTTTAGCCTCTTGAACTATCCATGAAAGCCAAATGGAAATAGTACACTTTGACACGCCCGACCCTGGTACAGCTGCTGAAACTTAAGCACAATAACCGACTTGGAAATATATACTTTCGATCTCTAACCCTTACACAAACATTCAAACCACTGCAATCAGGGAGGTTTGACAGCTCAAGCGAGCTCTGACCAATGCTACTATTTCCTGGAGTTTACCACAGTGGTAGATTGTGCTGCCTATCAATCAAAGTCAAGAAGCGTGATTCAGTACAACCCTCGGGGACTTTATCATGCTCATCATCCTCATTGTGCTGATCAACTTCTCAACCCTTGTCCGCAGATGAAATCACGACTTCATCCGTTGAAAGAATCAGATTATACATACGGTGTTTATGGTCTTCTACACTTCCAAGAAGTTGTACTCGGGCAATTCGTTTGTTTTGTTACATGAAATCAGTACCATCGTGTAATGTAATCAATGTGCTATCGTTGTCCTACACGTACCGGTGTACGCAACGTGTATCGTGACACTAGAAACGTTTTGATGCAAAGTTCCAAATTAGCCATGGCGGGTCATTACGTCAACCCGCATCATGGGCCCCATCCTCATTGTGCGATGCACGTATCAAATTCGGTCCCGAGACGGAGAAAAAGAGACATCACCGCTTAAACGACCAGGTACAGTAGATACCTAGTCATCACTTATGTTTACAAAGGAACAATGAGACATCAAGGTGTTCATGAATAGGGATGCCGTTTTGCCGTATTGGCGACGCAAGCCAAGTATATCCTCATCTCGTCAGCTTCTTCATCTTTCACCGATATAATATGATCTGATATGAATGCACTTTGATTGACATTGAGAATTATCAGAACGAAGAGGTGAGTGTGAGTTTTTGGAAGGGGAAACGCCTCAAACTCCATCTTAATTCACAGGCCGTTTGCTGATCCATGCCCATTCACTTGAAAGAAGATTAAAAGTAACAAATCAGAACTTCTATTCCTCCGTTGCATATTCCACCTGCGTTGTGGACGTCATATGTAACCGCACCAGCAACCACAGCATATCCTTACGAATGCCGTCACTACCTATACACGCCACTGGTCTTCCATTGGAGATGCGGCCCCAGAAGAAAAATGCGCGCTCGAAAAGAAATGTAATTATCTATCTCCTACTCGCCTTCACATTCACTTGGATTCCATATACACTTTACTTCCGCCAAAGCTCTATATCCAATGCCAATTTAATAATGGACGAGGAGAGCGGAGAGGTTATACATCACGAATATGGAACGAATGCGCAACCCGCTTTTACAAATATGATACACCTGATGAATCTACCTTCCGATTACCTACCGCAGACAGGCAAACACAGGAAACCAAACCGCCTCATCATAGTGGGCGATGTGCACGGAATGAAAGATGCGTTGGTGAGTTTACTCGACAAAGTAAACTTCGACGAGAAACACGACCATTTGATATTAGCTGGCGATATGATATCCAAAGGACCCGATTCTCCAGGTGTGGTTGATCTTGCCATGAAAATCGGAGCTTCTGCCGTGAGGGGAAACCATGAGGATAGGATTATTCTCGCGCATGCCGATATGATAGCACAGCATAAGGAGATGGAGATGGATGCACCTGGCCCGAGTGAAGATCCGGAGAAAGTGGTTGATGGGCTGGAGGAGATTAGTTTCAATCATGGGGATTACAAGGATCGAGCGTTGGTGAGGGCGCTGGGGGAAAAGAGAATCAAATGGTTGAAGAAATGCCCTGTAATTCTGCGAGTAGGGCATTTGGATGGAATGGAGCAGGTGGTGGTTGTTCATGCTGGGCTGGCTCCCGGGGTCGAATTGGAAAAACAGGATCCATCTATGGTGATGAATATGCGGACTCTGATTGACGGAGTACCTAGCGACGAAAGAGATGGGAAACATTGGAACAAGGTAAGAGCTACTCACATGCCATCATGCAATTATCTCGGATTTTTTCTAACCACAAAACCAATAGGTCTGGAATAAGCATCAGAAGAAACTACCAAAGAAAGAACGTACTACAGTCATTTACGGTCACGACTCTAAGCGAGGTCTCCAATTAGAGAAATACAGCATGGGTTTGGATACGGGGTGTTTGAAAGGCGGCAAGCTTACGGCTGTAGTTATTGAAGGAGGAAATTTATCTCCGAAACACAAAGTTGTGCATGTTAATTGTAAGGATGGGAGAAAGAATTATTAGGAGTAAAAGATGGGTTCGGGTAACCTTATGAGAGAATTTGCGTTAGATACCATTCGAGGCGTTTAGGATATTAGTTGCTCCAGATGGCTTAATGATTAGTTTATATCACACTACCTTGATTGGGGTTGATGATGAGTTTGATTTGGGTTTTACGGTATTGGATATGATGATATCCCACAAATGTTATTCTGGTGGACGAGACGGTACCTGAGTGTGAGTGCCCAATTGGCGCTCAATGCGAATGACAAGATCAGGTGGATGGCAGGGCATGAAGGCAAAGTTCACTCTTTTCAGTTCGATTCTTCAACATACAGATGATATAGAAGTTATTTATAGATTTAGATGCAGTCAGAAAATAGATCCAATAACCAGGCACTGAAGTGGACCCCAGTATATCCCTACAAGAACATTAGTATGCATCCCAATTCGAAACTAAACTCCAAGTCTATTTTCCTTGCCTCTAGAGATCTAAACCACTTCATCTCTTGTCTCATCATGATCCACCACGATCACGATAGGTATGATTCTTTCATCTCCTGGCTCACCCTTCTCCTCATCCTTGCTCTCATGATTAACAAACACAAAACTTCCCACCACAACCAATGCACCCACCCAATAGACTGCAGTGCTTGTCTGATCATTCAGCCACATCTGGCCCACCAAACTCAACGGGATCGTCATACTCAAGCCTACAGTCACTACCAATGGCGTTGTCAACAACATCGCATACGCCCAGCAATAGTCGCTTATAAAACTGCTTAAGGAGTTCAGTAATACTATGAGCCAGATTTTGCCAGTGGGAGGTAGCTCGAATGTTTCCACGCCGCTGAAATGCAAAATGAAGAAACCGGGCCAGAGAAAAACAACATTGAAGAATCCAACGAGCCCAAAGAATAGCGGCATATCGACCCGATCTTCGTTGCCGCAGCGCTTTTTCATCACTACTGCATACAGCCCATACATCACCGCGCTTCCAAAAGCCATGATATCGCCAATCGCAATTTGCGCTTGGGATTTGTGGGGAAAGTTCCCACGGTTTGAGTCATTATCCGTACTCCCTAGATCGACAGAGGAAATGAGGATGATGCCTACGAAGGAAGCTAGGACACCGAGGAGTTTGCGGACGGTGAAAGATTCGACACGAACAAGCGCTCCAAAGAGGAGGGTGAAGATTGAAGAAGTGGAGGTCAGGATTGTGGACGAGGCTACGGATGTGTATTCGAGACAGCCGGCTACGAGATAATTGGCTATGAACCAAAGAAGAGAGAACTCGAGAGAGAGTTTTGCGGTCTCGGATACACTTAATCTGTCTTCCTTCTCTTGTTCCTGTGGCTGCGGAAGATCTGTGTCAAGGTCGTCGGTAGAGCTGAGGAGACGGGAATGAGAAGCGCTCATAGAATCGTACTCTTGATCTTCTCGACTGGATCCTCGGCGATGCCATCCTTTGCGGAGATTCTGAAGTCCGGTGCGGTATTCTGATAATTGGTCATGATAGTAGTCCACAGCTGAATCCTTCACATGCGACCAGCCATGCTCTCTCGATATTCGTAGAAATATAGGGATCAACGATATAGCAAAAAATGATGTGTTGATATATGTAACAAAATATGGTTTCGAATAGGTATTATCGGCGAATATGTACTATCGTTCTCAGTATTAGTATTGGGTGTTCGAATTCCTTGATAGTTTGCCAGCTCAATATACTAAGCTTGCCAAATGAGAAGCATACTCACACTAGCAAGAAAATTACTACTCGTCCACAACATCACTGTAACTCCCAATAACACCATCCCCAGAGTCCTGCGCGCTACATTCTCTAAGCCCACTCCGGCTCTAAATCCCAAGTTCTTGCTACGAGTGCTGGCAGTTGCACTTGTGCCTGTGATTGTTCTTTCCAGCGATACACTCTGAAGATGTGCCTGCATTGTAGCAGAATCCGTTGACGCACTCATCGCGCCGATTTGAACTGATTGCGCCGTCGTTCTTGGACTAACTTCAAAGATCTCGTCCTTCAAACGCCTTTTATCTTAGCTATATCCCACCTATGCAACTGAAATCCGAACGATGTGGAGGTTGATTATGTGATCGATTATGTGAGTTTTGTTTTGAATTCCAAAGGGTCATGGAGGTCGTAGACACATGTACATATGTTGATGCATTTAACAATATGATAGGTCTTATGATGCCATGTAGATATAATTAAAGTGCGAATGTGATGTTCGTCTTCGATGCGCGGGAGATACCTATATAGATGAGGTGGTAGTGAATTCGGAACACGAAGGATTGAGCACGCGATCGCAATCATTAACAATCCTTCTGCTAGTTGGACTTTGAGAAAGGAGAGAGAAACAAATTACCAAATGAAAGCCACGCCAAGTGAAGGCTTACATTACTGTATCTAAGACCAAGACATTCTCATTTGAGGAAAAGAAATACGAAATAGCCCTTTAGCGCTAGCTTATATGTACGCAGATAGTTCTATGCGCTAATCGTTATCAAACTTTATCCAAGAGAATGGGGTTTGAAGGGGGTCCAAAGGTAACTTTGTTTCAATGTCAATCTATGTTGCGCTACTCTGCTCCGTGCAAGGCTCACATCTATCACAGATAACTACTCGTTCTAATGCAATAATATGGTTCATTCAAAGATGCTTTCATTACAGAACTATAAACCCGTCTTTCTCATTATGCGTTCTGTATCATCAAGGAAATAAGAAAATCGCAGACCCAATAGCGCCAGAATGATCCCTATGTACAATTGACGACCTTCTCATCAAAACTTCCAGTATAATTCCCTCAGTGGTCGAAAGGGCAGGGCAGAAAGAGAGAAAATGAGACCAATGATTTCCGACCCCCACTAGGTGTCATTTAGCAGGCACAACCATCTCTATCGTTCTCGATATGGATGTTGATTGGATCTGAGTAATCTCCATTGTATTCTTCCGATTCCTCCTGTGCTAGGGCGTTTCTTGCAATAACTAGATTGGAATTAGCTAGGATCTGTTTGACGAACTTGAAAGTGATTTACCTTCAAAGGCTTGCTCGACATTGATGGCCTCCTTGGCACTTGTTTCGAAATATGGAATGTTGCCCTTTGAAGTACAGAAAGTCATAGCCCGTTTTGAGGAAATCTGAACCACGATTAGCAAAGATATCATACAATCGTTCCAACGCCAAACTTACCACTCTCTTGTTCTCTTCGACATCAATTTTGTTGCCTAGAACGACCTACGCAACTGTCAGTGCCATATCGGATTCCCGTAAAACTGCCAAACTTACAAACGGGAAGCTTTCTGGATCTCTGGGCGAGGCCTGGATCAGGAATTCATCCCTCCAACTATCCAATGTATCGAAACTCTTGGAATTGTTCACGTCGTAGACAAGGACACAGCAATCCGCTCCTCTGTAGAATGCGACCCCTAACGATTGGAAACGTTCCTGACCTGCTGTATCCCAAAGCTATATCCAATGGTTAGCTACCAAGTCCCAGCTGCCATAAGAAGTGCGAAACCCTCACCTGCATGGTAACTAATCGATCATCGACTAGGACCTCCTTTGTCAAGAAATCCGCCCCGATAGTCGCCTTGTAGCTTGCACTGAATTTCTTGTTGACCTAATCCAGTATCAGTCTCTAGTGTCGGCGTATACGTCGCGATTGAAAGACACTCGGTAGGTATTCAACGTACATATTGGTTCATCAAACTCGTCTTTCCTACACCGCTATCGCCGAGGATAATAACCTGCGGATCTCAGATCAGCACCAAACTACTCATCAGATCCTCAACATCAGTCCTTACCTTCAATAAAACCTTCTTGCGTGAAGCCATCTTTGTCTAGCTTGTGCTTGATCTAATCTTCCTCACGAAGCGCCAACTTTCTCCCTTTCCTCGATCTCTTTCTTAAACAAAAAAGGAGCGTAGGCACGTAGAATAGAGAATCGTTTCGGTCGTGATGAAAAGGATCCTTTTTTTTCCTATCAAGAATTCGGGTTATGAATGTATCGATGTAATACTTAATATAGGTTTGGTTAATTGAAGAGGAGGAACATTACATCGGTAACTTTAAGCTTTAGTGCTTGCCTCGTGCCTCGTGCCTCTTCATTAAATTGCCCCATCCAGCCATTCAGCTATTCAGCCATCCATCGGAAACCCGCTAGCGCCGGCCGCTTGGTCCTATCAGTATCTGCTTATCGAGATCTATCCCACTACAAGAGTGGTGGGCTACAGCTCATCCACAGTACCAGCACACATTCACACATGCATACTGCATAAGAGAACTTCCTTATATATCCATTCACTTGCAGGTTCTCGTACATGAAACTATCAGGCTAAACTTTTCTTCAACAGCTTTTCATACTCATAAACTCAACTTTTCGTGGAACTCTACGATAGGTAGAAAGAGATCGCATTCTATGATTGTTTATTGAAAAATAACTACCTGGATTTTCAAAGCAATGAAACCTCAACCTGTACGTCAGCAACCAAGAGAACGAAACAATGGCTTCCTGGCGCGATGATTATATAAAAGCTCTACAAGATCGCGATGAGCGCGAACAAACCAGCTACCAGCGCTTTGATCCTTCTTTCATAGACGCTTGTACGGCACCCCTTCTGAAATGAACTTTATGTCTAAAGTCTAATAACTTGCAAAAGATACTCAGCTGCTCGACAAAGTCTCTGCTCAAACTGCAGCTGCAGCTGTTCACGACACCTCATCTACCTCCGCCAACCCCCCATCCCTCTCTTCCTCTGCCACATCTCAAAAAGCAATCTCCAAAAATGCAAATCAAACTCAAACTTCAACCTCTTCCGAGGTTCTTCAGCTCCGCGCTTCCTTATCCGAAGCACTCCGATCCTCTTCGCACTTCCAATCGCGTTTGAAGATCACCGAAACCTCACTCCAGGCTTTACGCACAAAAAGTGCTTCAGTATCCAAACAGTTAGAAACTTTAACTCGAGAACGAAATATTCTGGAGAGGAAGATCAGGGATCGAGATGAGGAGTTGCGAGCTAAGACTAAGGGGTTTCATGATGTGCAGGATGAGATGATATCTCTGAATTTGCAGCTCAATATAGCAGAGCAGAATGAGAAAAGAGCAAAAGCGGAGAATAAAGAATTGATTGACAGGTGGATGGCTCAAAAAGGAAGAGAGGCAGATGAAATGAATAAAAAGTTTGGGACCTGATGCAAGAAAATGATGATCGAATCAAGCTCATCACACTCTGTATTAAAATCACCGAGAAGGATAAAACATGAAGGAGTAATGGTTGCTGTTACAAATACATTCATTTATCCATACATCTACTCTATGCCGACTCGCTGTGATATCGCTTTGTACTTAAGTACCCAATAATAACCTGCCCAATGGTATCAACTATGTAAGGAAACCCTATATTCAAATTCACAAATCATCTAACCCGACTCCCCCGTGTCTTTCTATCCTTTGGGGTCTTGTGATAGTTAGCCACGATAGTGCTGTCCTTCGTAGCAACGTAGTAATCTCCTCCATTGGAATGCCAACTGACATCACCTTCCGCATAGGTCTTCTTTTCGACTCGCAATAAATTGATGGGATTGTGTTCGTTGTAAGAATTTATGACATGACCATCCGGCACGAAAGTTTTTAAACTCACAATCTTGCAACCCTCTTTTAAATCCAAAAATAAGTTCACAAGACTTTGGTTCAAAGCAGGTGCGAAGACTTGATTGTTAACCAAGATAACATCAGCTCTCTTCATCACCTTGAGGATGTTTTCGTTATTCAAGAAATTTCCTTCCTCGAGGTTGACTGACCCGGCGCTGAGGCCCCAAGCCCTGCAACGTGCAGAAAATTCTGTCTGTTGTAAGGAAGCCAGCTTACAGCAGTTAGGCATTATTTCACAGCCCCAACTTTCGCAACCAACTTGTAGCGCGGCATGCACGACGACATTTCCTACTCCCGAACCAAGATCTATGAAAACTTGATCTGATTTCATCCGAGTGTCTTCCCTGAGAATTCGGGATATGAACGGGAATGTGAGCTCGCCGTAAACGTAATCCGTGCCATTTTGGTATTTATTAGTCAAGTCAACTTGAGGAGACACTGCTCGGTCGTAAACTTGCTGGAGAACCATCTTGAGAAGCTTAGACGATAGCGAATGCTTATTTTCCAAGTTCTTCGCCAGCGATCCATTCTTGGTGAGAGTGCTGAGCGCGTCATTGTAAGCCCCCACAGCATTCCTGAACTCAAGCAGCAGCCCCTTCATTTTCTCTTTGTCGTGGGGCTTTTTTGCGGTGGACAAAGTCCAAGTAATATTGTTCGTCGCTTTGTTGATTTTGCGAATTATGCCCGTTTCTGGATGGGCGAACTCCGCTGCTTGCTCCTCGGTCAAATATTCATCCTTGACAATTTCCACAATCTTAGGTATTTCGTCGTAAGGGTTGATCAAATCTTCTCCTGCGGGATCGATAACCTCTCCTTCGGAGATGAGTTGGTATCTTTAGTGACGGCATTGATTAGCTGGGTTTAACTTCGGATTCTAGGGGTTGAATTCAGTAGACATTACCTTTCTCTTCGACTGACACTAGGATATCTTAGAAGGACCGCATCGCCCTCTTCCTTCTTTCTATCGCAAACTTTCTCGCCGCTCTTAGCCGTGCGTTTCGTCATCATAACATCGGCCGCGTGGATCATTCTGCATGTAGAACCTTGCGTATTATCGGTTTCGGTCGAAAAGGCTTTTTTGTCCTTCAGATTCCTCTTCAAATCAGGCTCGATATTTTCTGGCTTGGCCCGTTTGGAAGACACGGCCACCTCTTCATCTTCCTCGCTATCACTCGTCAACGGCTGTTGACTGGGGCTTTTTCGAAGAGTTGAAGTTGTGCTTTTCTTAGTGTTACGGCTTCCGCTGATTTCTCTTTCTTTCCTTTTCTTTCCTGCCTCGGGGGGAGGGCTTGGGACGGCTAGTCTGCCACGAGCATCAGTGACTTTTGATACAGGTGTACCAATTCGAAGGCCATTACTGGATGTCCTACTAGATAAAGTCGGCCTCTGTTTTGGAACTTTTTCGGATTTAAATTTTGGTGCCACAGGTTTAATGTTCGTCAGTCCAAAATTCAAGCTCATTCCTGCAGATTTTGAGAACAAGATGGAGAGTAAACAAATACAAAAATATTTGCCAAATACAAAATAATGGATTAAAATGTGTTCTTGCTGGTGTTTCTTAGATGGCTATGAATGCTGAGTGATGTGAGAGTTGAAGCAGGTATTGCATGCAGTGTATGTCTTGAGAGAGTGAATTCATTGAAGACTAATAATAAAGACTTGCAGGCAGGTACGACTCAAAGGGCTGTTGTATGCAGAGATCTACACTAGTTTTGATCACGTGCTGAAATTCTAGCAAATAGAGTTTAGAGTTCACAATGACAATTCGTGATGTTTGTAATTATGAATTGCAAACAATCAATAGAAAATGATGAATTTTGTTGGTGTCAATACGAGTATGTACTTACCTAGATACACGCTTATTATTAATAAATCAGTCAGTATATCATGGAAATTGAAATTTATAAGAATTGAAAATAAAGAACATACTTTTGATAGACAGACTGTGGACTGATCATGGACCGGACCTGACCTGACCTACTGTGTACTAGACATCTTTAGCTCCCGTTAAGGGACTTTTTAAGGGATTGTCAAGAGATTGATCTGGAATGGAAATAGATTCGGGATAACTCTAACCCGGATAACACTTGGACAACACTGGATAACACTTGACAAAAAAGTACTGCACAACATCTTTTTCATTGGTCTCCAAAGTTATCAAGCAGACCTTTACATCTGAATTCTAGCAAAGGAAATGTGCATATCATTACAATTCATTATTTGACAACCAGGCTGTCTGATTCGAATGTATGAAGAGTGGTGGAGTCGAACAGTATACCTAGCAAGAGAAAGATGCTAATGTCACAGACTGGATCCAATGCTTTCATCTGTTGATTACTTTGTAATATACATACTAGGTAGTTAGCAGACAGATCAATTGCTAGATCTTGTTTAAATCCTGTTAGTTCTTCATATCAAACATTCGAAAATGACTTTGGTAAACCTCTTTTATTATTTCATTCCCTAGTAATATACAAAAATAATCTCACAGGTGCAGACACAGATACAACATTCAGCAGAAAACACAAAGGAAAACCTCAATCATTTTGGAATCATGACCATCTCACATCACGTTATCATTCAAATTCTTCTTATTACTGATAAAGTCCTTGAGAGTAATGAATCCATAATTGCAGTCAGAGTATAATAGGACAATAGCACGCAATTGGCTGTATAAACAAACATGACGAACGTGAGAGTGAGGAACATTCATTATTCCTCAAAGATAGGTAACTTTTGTGTGCCCAGGCTTACTTTTTGGAAAACAGGAGAGCAGACCATTGAAACAACACACAATAGACCCAAGCAGACCCAAGTGTATGATATGACAGATAGTCTAACATGTCAGTCAATAACACCATGCGCCGCCCCAAAGAGGTAGATAACATTGGTGTAAAGACCGCCCATATTCAATCTAGATTTTACTAGTATAGTAAATTAGAGTAAATCCCAGAAAAGCTTCATGTATGTTGTAGGTCTGTGATGTTGCTCTGGGCCAGTGAGGCTAAACATGGGCATAATGAAAATCTAGGCACAAAGATTTATGTGAATCCAACGCCGAAGGAAATCGTTTTGAGAATTGAGGGTCAGAAAATTAATCTTTTTGCCATGTAGGAGCAGAAGTCAAAACTATGCTCAGTGCACCGAGAATGCTTGCCCGGTTTGCCAATGTTTCATTGAAAACATGACGCCTCTCAAGATCTGTTATCTAAGAAGCAATAGCACGTTGGCCTGCGTTACCACCACGGTTATTTTTCTTGGGTTTAGACACTGTGCTCCAGCCATCCTCTTCCATGACTGCAGTTTCAGTTGTAGCAACAGGGCTTTGGGCTGGTGCAGTCGCATTTTGTCCACCACCATTTGGGTTTTGTCTGTGGTTCCTTCCTCCATCATTGTGTCTTGGGCCTCTTGGTGCATAATCACCACCCCTACCCTTAGGTCCTCTTGGAATATCATCCCTGGGTGGTTTAGGTCCAGATGGACGTCTCCAGGCTCCTGTGTCAGATGGTTTTGGTTTGGCATCTCTCACAATCTCTTTTGGTTTGACAGCCTTATCGTCGACAATCTCGCCGTTTGCATTCTCGGTTTCAATTGTCTCTCCTTCCTTTGTTGCTTCTTCACCTTCACGTTGTAGAACTTCAGCTTTCTTCTCGTTGTCTTCAGTTTCCTTAGCCTTTGCAGCCTCTCTCTCCTGCTTAGCCTTCTCATCAGCCTCCTTTTTCTCTTTGATGGCCTGTTGTCGCTTCTCCTCGATTTCCTTCTCCTTGGCGGCAGTATCAATTGGACGAGCAGCTCCAAATGGGCTTGCCTTCGCATCACCTGCGGCAGATGACGAGGATGAATCAGCAGGGGCCTCGGAAACGGTGCGCTTTGCAAGGTTCAATCTTGGTCTACCACCAGCCGGGGCAGATGGGAGGGCTGGAGAAGCTGGGGCCTCGCTCCCTTCACGGGATAGAACAGGTGACTTTGCTGCTGGTGCAGCTGGTGGGTCGGGTCGCATTTTGCTACGCCATTGGTTGTCTTGATCGGCGGCTGTGGGCGCACGCTCAGCGACGGGTCGCTCTTGAAACTCACGTCTGGGTGGTCTTGATCCTTCTTGTGAGCCAGAGCCTTGACCTTGGGATCTACCTTCACCCCAAGCAGCTGGCGAAGCTTTGCGGTCTCTAAAACCTTCGGCTCTTGGTCCATCGTTTGTTCGGGGTCGGCCACCTTCTCTTGGAGCACGTTCCTGTTGGGCGAGGGGTGAGAGTGGACCCTTTCGTTCCCAGTTTCCAAAGTCTCGAACCTTGCCATCACTTTCGGGCTCACGGGGGGCTCTACGCTCGCCACCTTCCTCGCCAAAACGGCTAGATTGGTATCCTCGATCCGAAGTGCGACGCTCTCCTCCACGGCCCGGCAAATCAGGTAGGGGTCCCTTTCTACTCCAGTCTCCGAGCTCTCGTACATCTGGACGGTCACCACGATCCTTCGCTATAGCATATATTAGTGAATAGCGCAAGTACGATGGGTATCAAACTTACGAGGATCAGCAACACTGATTCTAATGTTACGACCTTGGAACTGAGTCTGGTTCAAAGTCAAGGCGGACTTAAGGCCTTCCAAAGAGCCGAATTCTGCATATCCGAATCCCTTTGGTTTCATCTCCATCTTATCCTCAATGATGCGAACGTTGATACATTCGCAGCCAACGAAAAATTCGTTAACATCGCCGACGGTAGCATCGAATGAAAGGTTTCCAAGATGAACAGTATAAGGTGGCTTGTCGGGGAGAGGGAGTTCCTCGCGAACGGAATAACCTATTGAAAGTTAGAATAAGAATTTCATTGAAAAGGGCAATTTAAAGGAAGGTGATGGGAGACTTACCTCCGGCATTGTTGCCATAAGTACCAGTGGTAGAGCTATAGGTACGTCTCTCATTGCTGCTTCCACCATATCCAGAAGGGCGTGAGTCTATAATGATCAGTATTCATATTTTTGCGAAATTGGCCACGATCAATGTGCGTTTGTATTCACATACCGGCTGTGATAGATGGAAATTAGTAAGGCTCCATATCGATATAGGAATAGAAGAACTTACAAACTGGCATATCCTCCATCTCATCGGCCCATGATCCCAACTCTACACCGATATTAGTATGAAAAAGATTGTTGTGCGAGGACAGTAGGTGTTTTCATACTCTCGTCAGCCAAGAAGGTCCCGAGGGACATCTTCTGCTGTTCCTTCTTCTTAGGAGCTATGGCACAACTACAATTAGCCACCACATACTCGATATTTCAAAGACCCACACCGACAGTATCATGGTCGCGATGTTCGATGAAAGGTTAGTGAGGGGGAGCGCTTACCCATGATTGCGGTTTTTTTTTCTTAGGACGCTGCGCAAAAGTGTTTGCGCGTTGTCCGAGACAGAGTATTGAAGGTACTACGAAGTCCCTTCAATCGATCGTATGTATTTAAGGTTTGGGTATTCCTTGGGATATTCGAGGCTCGTCGAATATCTTTTTGTGTATCGGTAGGAAGAGGTCGAGGTTCTTCGTGGTGGGTTTAGAATCCAAAATGGAAGAATTATTAAAAGTGCGAAGTTTGACAAGGGTTGTGCGAAACTAGTGGGGCAAATTCTTTCACTAGTGCTGTGTTAGTGAATTTGCGTTTGTTCAATGATATGGAATTTTTTATCGAAATCGTATAGATGATTACATTTATATTCATATTTAAGAGTTAATTCATATTTTTGAAATTTTGAATTTTACCAAGGAGGCAATCATCTCCCATTGGATAGGATAAAATAGTGAAGGACCAGCTAGATATAAATCCCGTCTCGTATATACATAGGCGGGTACTAGTAGGTACGCAGTTTTGATATCTCAGCCAGATAAATACACGACATTGCAAAGTAAATATGTAGGTGAAATTTATATTCATCCTCTGCAATCCAAACCATCATTCGAGAATAGAGGTTATCCATACCAATTCTATGTCGGTTGATTGACAAGTTGAGCATCAGAATTCGAATAATATCATGACATAAATCTAAGAAGCTCACATATCAGTATCATGCAGCCAAACTCTTGCTCCCTTCGGAAAATAAGAGACGATATGACAACTCCTAGAGCAAAGGAAGACTCTTCTCCTTCAATGGCTCCCATCAATCAATCCCAAGGCCCCAAATCGGGTGATCTGCCTCCTGAGTTGATGGATATCATAAAGCCTGCTCTACAATTTGGCGGTCTTTCTGGTATGTCCTATTCTCGGTCAATCAATCTCTATCTCCTGTTTGTAGAAACAGAAACATTTGCACGCCTCAGCAACACTTTCGACTCATTATCACGTGTAAATCTTCACACAACTCTCCTAGCCCCCTCATACATTTTACACATCAATCATGTCACCTTCCCAATCTCTGATACCATCAAAGCTAACAAGCACCCTCAGCACTCTCTGGCACTATAATTGGTGGATTTTCTGGTATCCTCGTGTCTCAAACTCCAGTTCTCTTCGCCGTCGCCAGCTCTATTCAATGGGGCATTCTTGGTACCACCTTCTGGGGAACCCGTACTGCCCTTCTCTCCCGTTATAGGACTGCGTCTATATACCCGACGCCGCAAGAGAAAGCGCTCTCAACTTCTCTGGCCGCTTCTCTTGCTGGCGCTACTGGAGGTATACTGCGTGGCCCAAAAAATATTCTGCCTGGGTTTGTCGTTTTTGGGGCTGCTGGGTATGTGGGACAAAAGATCTATGATGCTGTGGACGAGAGAAAGATGGAGGAGTTAAGGTTGGAGGAAGGTGCGAATAAAAAGAGTGGAGATGATTGGATGAACTCGAAATGGGTGCCGTGGAAGAAATTATCCGATGACGAGTATGAAGGAATGTTGAAGGAAAGACTGTTAAAGGTCGATGCGGAGATTGCAATTCTAGACGAAAGTCTGCAGGCTTTACGAGAACAGCAAAAAAACGAGGCGGGAAAGCTTCAAGGAACAGTTGGAAAGAATCATTAGCTTTCTGTCTAGCTTCTATACACCATTGAAAAAGAATCGTCGGCTATATGAAGTTTTAGCATTGAGTTATTTGTAGCCTGCATTATCTCTTTGTGAAGATTCTCGAATACAGCATGTGATCTATTTCAACATACGAAATTTAATGGATTTAGTGCTACATTTACATTACGCCGTTCATTTCCTTCCCAATCAGAATTTGTTGCCCATACAAAGCTTTTTTGGTATCTTCTGGTTCACCGTGATGACTATCACTCCTCATCATCCTTCTTCCCAGATCTATTTCTTACCCACTCCTCAGCGATCGCTCTTACTTTCTCTTGTGACTTTTTGTCACCATTAGCCTCCTCCCACTCGGTCCATCTTTTGAACCACCCCATCGCACCCTTGGGTTTCAATCCCTTGATTCGAGCTACTCGTTCAAACACACCCCTAACAATGCTCTTATCACCTGCCTTAATTTCTAGATCCAAAAGCTGGCCCCAAATATCCAATCGCTTACTCCATTTTGCCAAAACACCCTCGAAAATTGTGCGCCCACGTTCTGGAGAGCCATGCTCAGAGCGGAACTCTAGAGCTGCAAATTTGAGCGTCAAGGGAAGATGGGTGTGTGGAGGAAGAGATTGAGTTGCACGTGGAAGGAGAGCACGACAACGATCAGGGGCCCCGAGAGTATTGAAAAGAAAGTGTGCATAATTGACCCAAACGGTGGGAGATTGTGAGAATTTCTTAGTGAGAGCTTGGAAAAGTTCATCGGCTTTCTGTATGGCTGTTAGCTTACATGTTTGAGATTGTATGGAAGTATCCCTTACCTTGTTTTTGCCAGATTGAATATAGATACTAGCTAGTCTCTCGTGAACCTCTTGGGCATCGTTGTACTGGCAAGCTCGCTTAAACACAGCTTCGACAGTTTCATCACTTCCATATGCAATCTCCAAATTGAGAAGAGCGAGCCAGATATTAAGCTTCTCAGTTTCCTCTCGCATGTTGATAGTTTTGATGGCACGCTCAGCGATCTCTCTGGCCTTGCCTAGCTCGCTGAGTTGCATCTGGAAAGCCATATACTGGGTCCAGAGACTGGAAGAGTCTGGCTGACCCAAAAGGAGGCGCTCGAAGTCACTGACAGATTGCGGTCCATTGGCATCAAGGTCACCTGTTCTATCAACCTTAATTTCCGCTTTTCTCTTCTTCTTTTTAGGTTTCTCTTCGGCGGCTTCGTCATCGGAATCTGCATTGGACTGGCCATCAGCTTGGTCCAGGAGGTCAGCAGACCAATCAAATCCGCCGGCGCTAAGAGCTGGGACATCGCCTTCAGCATCAGGCATTTCCTGGTCAGAATCCGATGCTTCGTCTCCGTCCTCTGCGGCACTTTCAAGGTCTTGCACATCATCAAGGTCAATACCGCCTTCACTGTCATCGTCATCATCATCATCATCGATGTCCATACTGTCAAGCTTGACGCCATCCACACCATCATCATCACTCTCATCGTCAGACTCGTTTCCGTCCTCAAAGTGTGAAGCTTTCATAGAGAAACTAATGCGTTTCTTCTCGGTGTCCATCTTCAATACGATAGCTTTGACCGCATCACCTTCAGAGTACAATTTTTTGACGTCGTGGACACGCTTTTCAGCCATTTCACTTTGGTGACAAAGGCCGCTCACATTCGCAGAGCCATCGACAACAATAAAGACACCAAAATCCTCGACTTTACGGATTTTTCCGGTAACAACTTGGTTCACTTGGATATCGTTGAAGGTCAAAGGCGCAACGTAATCTTTGTCGATAACAGAAGGCTTGAGACTTAATTGAACATGGTTCAAAACTTCGTCTACAACTGTGACTTTGCCTTTGACTAGTTGGTCGACCTGGAATTCGGATTTCCAGTCTTTGATATAAGAGTCCGAAAGGTCTGAAATTCGAACATACGCTGTCACATTACCCCCCAAGTTGACAAACAGCCCCTTGTCAGCAACGTGTTTGACAAATCCACGCACGATGTCGTTGACTTTCAGTTGTGAAATGGATGTGATTTCTGGATCTTGAACTGCTGCTGATGAGTTCATCACTCTGGATGCTCTAGTCGATAATCGAACGCGTTTGTTTGGAACATCGATATCAGTAACACAGACACGAACAATATCATTCTTAGAGTATTTGGAAGGATCAGCTTCTGAATAGTCGTCGCAAAGGTCTGTAAGGTTTATTGGCGCAGAGATGCTATCAGTAAGCTGTATCATGACCTGTCTTTCATTGACTCTGGTTACTTTTCCTGGTACGATCATGCCTTGGCTTAGCTTATCAAAAGTAAGGGCTTCAGAATCTTGACTAGAGCGGGCAGACAAATCTAGACGGCTTGTTTCAACATCAACGCCCTTGACGTGAACTCGAATGGCAGATCCAACGGGAAAGTTTGCTGCTAGGTCCTTGAGTAATGATACATCATCTGATACATCTAGAGCGCTGATTCGGCCACGCACATTGGGAGATAGATTTACCCAGAGGCAATCAGCTCCAACGTTATTGACGAATGCTAACCAAGAAGAGCCAACCTCAATTTTGTCCAAAGATACAGGGTCTTGTGCAGACTCAGTTTGATCACTAGGCTTAGCGGACAGTTCAAAGACTAAAGTCTTGCCAGATCTGTGACTGATAGGCAGGAAGCGATGGTTACGCGCATCGTGTATTCCTAAGACGCGAACGTCGACAATTTGCTTGGGCGAGAATGACTTGAGAGGCTGCTTTTTGGATTTTATCTCCGACCAAGAGTCAAAGGCTTGTGACACATCAATTCGGCCCTGGATGTTATCGGCAAGTTGCACATTTACTTGGGTATCCTTAACAGACGACACCCTTGCCTTCGTAAGGCGACCAAGTGTAATGTCGTCAATACTCTTGATAGTTTCATCGATAGGGTTTACAGCTTCCAAATTGGTACCAGGGGCTAAAGGCTCATTCGACTTTTTGTCGGGAGTGGCATCAGCCATAGATAAAAGAAATCTTCGTTGTCCATGGTCGACAGTGAGAACCTTGACCTCTACTGTTTGGTACTTTTTAAATCCAAAGTCTGGTAAACGAAGGTTCTTCTCAGGTATCTTATTCTTAGGCAGAAGCCCTGTGAGACTGCCTCCAAATTGCACAAAGACTGCTGTCAATGTTATGTTTTTAACGAATCCATGTACAGTCTTCCTCTCTTTGACGTCATCGAACATTCTCAGTAAAGTCTTATTCTGAGCGGCCTTGACAAGTGCAGGTTTATTCGTTAAGACGATCAAACGCTTTTGCTCAAGCTTGTCCAGTACAGCAAGATCTGACAATACTTGACCAACACGAATATTCTTGAACGAAGAACGGCTT